TTAGCAGCAGTATTTCCGAACCGATACGACAACATAACTTTCAAGAAAAGAGTATATTCCTTTTTAAAAGGCCAGCAACACACCTGTTATGCCGCTGGTGTTGTGGGTAATCATGGGCGGCGGTAATCACTTACTATCAGGTGAGCCGCGTGCTCGTTTCTCCCCTGTGTTGTAAAAAAAACCTCTTCCTTTCCCGTGGGTATCATAAGAGGCTAATAAAGGAGGGCGAGGGATGAACAGCAGCCTTCCTCTTAAAACATCTCTAAAAGCCTAACTGCGGTTGCCAACCCGCCTGCCAAACGTGGCAATTACTGGTAATTCACTCCTTATGGGGAGGAAGGCTTATGTTCAGTAGTGGATAGTTAACAACATTTTCTCATCTACCCAAAGGTTGTCTGGAACAGATTGCTTTAGCGATAAGACCGTCTTTTGTACTTCAAAAGTATAATATGCATGAAAAGTGAATAAATAAATAAATAAAAAAAATCTTTAAGGAATATTCTACTAGCAAAACTAAATATTTTAATAATAATATAATATTATAATATATATAATATTACAATATTAGGTACTATTTCTTTTTAATGCTATTGATTTCATATATCTTATTATTTTGTAAATCTCTTCTTTAAATTTTTACTAGAGAAATAAAATGCCCCAGTCATAGATTAGATATATCCATACAATTTCAAAGTCGTTTAGTGAAGTGGTTTATTCAAACATGTACAAATTTAATAGAGAAGTTTCACTACATGCTAAGTCTAATTACTTATTAGGGACTATTTTATGACTCTCGGGGATAAATTAAGTCTTATTACTTAACTAGATAAGTGGGAATGCAGACCCCACACTACGTAACCCCACACTAACGTACGATGTTTAATTCCTTAGAGAAATACGACTACAACTTAGTACGGATGTTGTTAGAATAAATAAATGGTTTCGAATACCTAATTGTAGACAATAATAAACAATTTTCGTATTTATTTTGTTATTAATCACCTAAAATAAACAAACTGCTGAAATTTATTAATTATATTTTTAATTAATATTTACTAGTATTATTTATTTATTTTTATTTTATTTAACTCTTTATTGCACCATAAATAAAAATATACAATGACAAGTGAATAATTCAAGTGAAATACAGTAACAAAAATACAGATTAAAATATACACATATGGGTACAAAAGGCGGTAATATCGCTAGGGCAATCTCTTACAGACAACCTTTGGTTAAAGGAGAACAGATAGAAATGGGCAGGTGGCGCAAGAGTGAATTAATAATTTTTCGTGCATAAAATACAAAAACAATTATAAATGTGAAGGTGAGTTTGTTTGTTTGTTTATTATTTACTATTTCTCAGAACTTTAACAGTAACTTTCTTCACAGGCGAACGCAGTCGCAGTTAAAAACTAGTTCACATATTTTTGGTGTTTCATTGATTTTTGTCTATTTGAATTTTATACGACTAATTTTGATAAACAACATGTTAAAATTGTTTATTAATAATGCCGAATACAAAAAAATAGATTATTAGTACAGTGGCTTTGGCTCATTATATTTTACATAGCCGAAATCTTCGCATTTATATGAGACGTTATAAATTAATTATAATTTTCTAGTATGTATCATTATTTAAATAATCCAGTTATAATAGCACACCAGGGATACGACTGTAGCGAAATGAGAGTCATATTGTGTAAATATGGTTAATATTATATGAACACTCGCAAAGCTCGAAGTATTTACTGCTTGAAAAAAAAAACTGTGATGTGCAAAAAGATTTCCCCAGGTAAGTATGAATTTATCATACGTCTCCAACTAAGTACTACCAGAAAGGTGAACTCGCCATAGGTAACATTCTAAAGATGTGTAAATTTATGATTCACAAAAGTGAAAACATATATTTTCATTTCTTTTATACATATGTTTGTACGAAATGGGATTTGTATTTAAAATTAGCATTGGCCGCGTCTTAGCGTGTTAATCTTTTTTTAAATTTATCAAGGTGTTCACGATCACATAAACACACAGTAAAAATCATAAAATAATAGGGTCAATAGCAACACAATGAAGATACCAAGGTACCCTACTAGTTAGTACGTTTAATTTACCAGTGTGTACACTTAAAACAAAATGATGAAATAAGAGATGTGAGCAAATTTCATGGTACCCTCCGCTTACTCTAAAGTAAATATATAATAATAATGTAGATACAATTATTTTATGTTTTTAATTCCGACCATTTCTTTTACTTCATTTCAAACACCCGGCATATTTATTAAGAGGCACTGAAAATTCAAACATAGCCTAATTAAGTATGCACCTACTATTTAGTTAGGTGTGGAAAACTGATTAGTTTTGTATATTGTGTGAGGATTTTTAATACTGTATTAGCATACTAAGACATTTAGCGCTTTATTAAAAAGGTAGAAGCAATTTAATATTACGTACCGTAAATTTTAATCTACTTAATAAAATTCTATCACTAACGAGATGACTGAAATGTCTGGAAACATAATATTTTGCACGGATATTAGATACTTAAACAAATAACATCATGAAAACTAAAAGAGGATTGCCTAGTTTTTGACTACTTGAAATTCTTATGGAAGCAGAAGGCAAAGAATTTCCACGAGCAAAACTTTTAGCTAAGTGAAATATAAATTAATATTATAAAGAATAAAAACTTGATTTTTTGTTTGTAAAGTATATACGCAAAAAAGACCAAATTATTTTTAAGAAATCATTCGTCTATGTAAAAAGTTATATTATCAGTAATTGTTTTTATTTAAAAAAAAAAGCCTGAAGACAGGGTGGGTATCTGGTAAGAATATAAATGCAATAGTACTCTATTTTTAATAAAATGTTACTTGTATCGTAAAATCAAATATATAGTTATGATGATATCTTAATAATGCATATGGTAATAATGCAAAATAGTATCAGAGTTGACAAGAGGTTAAATTATTAATCGTGTTCGAAGTTCAATAACGAATAAATATTTTTCTTTGTCCTTTTTTCTATGCAGATGTAATTTCGAAGTTATCGCTTAATTCCAAATAGCAATTTATAGTAGTGTTTCATTTCATTTATTTATATAAAATAAACCATTATGGGAACTAAAATGTGATGACAATATATGTGAATCTTATTAGACTCATTGCCTTGTTTAGTAGATATTTGAAATTTTCGGAATATTATTATTTTCGAAATTACCCGAACGCGCCCCATGTAAGCTTAATCAATAACAAATTCCATGGCGATAATGGTATTATATAAATTGCATACGCCTTGTTAGTCACATAAATGACATGACGCAACGTGACATCTTTGGCGGAGGCAAAACTAACAAATGGTGAAAGTTCAGTGCTGTGCGGCTGTGGGCCGCGGCCTCTTGCTTAAGGAGTCGATTGTCGATATATTATCGATTCTTTAAATGTCAATATCTACTTGTAGATGAGGATTTACTAAATAATGGTCCGGATGTAGCCAAATGGCGGAGAAGTGGGGCCAGGATATGTGTACAATATTTTACCACTTTCCTCCTCGCAAGTGACTCGAAACGCAGCGCCTGAAATGGAGCGGCAACCGAAGACCGGTTTTTTGTACCACTTTACGCTAACGCAACTGATCGACGCAACTATATGCCTGGATTCCGCAGTAGTAATTAACTCGACTGTAATAAACAGTGTACTTTTATTGTTCTTGTACACAAAAACAAATTGAACGCGCCCAATAACGAAAAGAAGGTATCTATGAAGTAATTACTAAATATTTTTATCTGGCGGCGCACCTATCTACATTTAACATCAGCATTAAGTCAATAGTTTCACTATCTCTTGCAGAAATATTATAGTTATTATACAACATTTCGTCATGGTTTTGACCGTCTTATTACATGCAGTTATGGCTTTAGATTTATTACTTATATACTTAGCTTAAAATCGCCATATGTGCCTACGCTTAAACTAAGTTACGAAAAATATTACATTGTCTCACTATTACTTGTGACTAGGTTACCTCCATTTCCACACACACTTGGTACTTATTCGCATTTTATGATTCGCACATCTTCTGTTCGCCACTTATTGTGCAATGTCAACTGTTCAATTTGCCTATATTACATATGAAGCAACCCGAATTTCAATTCAAATTCTAGGTCAATCAGAATGTTCTCTAAGCAATGTCGATATCCTGTGGCGATTACAACACAGTCGCGATTATGTATAAAGTAAGTATGTAAGTTAACTTTAGTACCTATGTACCTATTTACTGAGACGGTTATAATGGGTTGTTGAACGCATTGCAGAAATCTTTAAGACTCCTGCTAATAATATTGACAAAACAAAATTTTCGTATGTATTTTAAAAAACAACACATTAATTTTGCTGCGATTGCACTAACTGTTTTTTTTAGGAAGTTAAATCGTTCAATATCTAAATTAATTCAAAAAATTTATGGTTCATGAGAACTACCACATAAAAATATAGAGTTGATTCTGTATTTTCATGTGTACAATATATTCCAAAATTTTAAACTGTTTTTGATATTAGTATTTGCAATCTATCTATTATAGTCGAATCAATAAGGTCGATTCTGAAGCATCATTTTTCTAAACTTATCTTGTAAAATTAAAATTAAAATTGGTATCACAGCTATATCTTTATTCCAAGGTCCAATATTACTAATTTACTAATAGATTGAAATCAAAATTATTGTAATTTTACTCCATGATGGTCCATAAATTCCACGCAAAATTATTAAATAAAAATATTAAGTTAAGAGTTAGGTTTAGAGAAAAGGCGCTTCAAAAACGGCCCTATTTAGGTTTCTGTTATGATTAAAATCTTTGTTTGTGGTACAAAATCTTAATTCATAAAAACTTATAAGTACCTATGTAAACTTCATGTATAAAACCTAAGTACTTTATTTATACAAAGGACTTTATATATGTTCATTAATATTGCCCATTTTTTTTAGTGTTTTATACAAACCTCAATTATAGTCCTAAATCCTCAATTAAAGATAACACAACTTCCAAAACTTCACTGTTCTTCAGCCAATATTTTTATATTTTATCTGAAGATTTTATTAAAAATGTATAGGTACTCGCGGGATGCTATATAGCGACCGAGAGTAACAAGTGCGCGTGCGCGGATACTGCTGCGCCGGAGTCGACGGTCGTGCGGATACTGCGCGCCTAGATCACCACCACCGCCACCCACCGACCACTATGAAAGTATTTTACATCTACTTAATGAATATCATTTATTCCAATTTTCCTAACATTTACCACTTATTATGTCAATAGCGAGTTGCAAAAGAGAATGCGCCGGCTACAGTCTGCTACTCCGAAGTGCCTACTTACCTATATGAATACGTAATATTCTCATCACCTTTTATAAAGAGCTACTAATAACCGATTCCATCTAATTACCGGTTCAAATTGCGTCTCGCGAACACCCGCTGCTACCCTTTATTTGCAATTAAATTAATTGAACGTCACAAAAGTTTCATTAAGTAGAAGCGAGTGAGTGAGGCCAGAATAACAAAGAAGAGAGCCGATGACGCGAGCTCGCAATGTTTTCGGGGCCCTGACAAATTATAGGCTCTTAATATTCTCCGCTGAATGCAGGGCCGCGTATATTGGACATGGTGTGATGACATTGTCTACGTCATATCACTCATAATCATAAAATACGCGTGTCCTTCGTCTCTACATTTTAACTAGAATGCCCTTTGTTTATTGTTCATTAATTTCCATTGAAATCATCAATTATTACTTTTCAATCAACTTCAAAAAGAAGGAGATATTCAATTCGATTGTATGTATTTTTTTTAATGTTTGTTACCTCACGACTTCGTCAGGTATAAATCAATTTGGGGAGTTCTTTTTTTACCTGGAAGGATATACTTACAGACTGGTCCCATAGAAATTATGTCAAAATCGGTTCAGTCGTTTAGTTTTTAAATTAAAATAACTTGTTTTTTATGACACAATTGAAGACAGTTGTTTTGTGGTAAACAATCTTGTTAATATCTTATAAATTAAATATACCTAGTTTTTATTATAAATTAGAATCATTAAAATGTAGTCTTTAGCCTACCTATTGTAATAAATTATTTATAAGGTACATTTGTTTATATTTAATTTATTTGTATGACTTTAATGATAATACTCACACAATAAACAAATATCCATTAATTAATACCATAACGCTTACGGAGTCCGCCCATTAAACGTTAGTACCCCAACAAAATAAGGTATTGTGTTTATTTTATTGGTAATATCAATGACTTTCTAACCTTTTTAACCAAAACACAGGAATTAAAATAAAAATTAATTGTTGCTTTTGCTTTTTTTCCATGTGATATGAAAGTAAAGTTGTGGCATATTATTTTTTATACTTTTTGTCTACTTATAGTTTGAATTTATAAGCCAACACTACATACTACTACATATAATATTATCATATTACTATTATTATAATACCATATTTAATTGTCCATTGCTAAATATAAGCCTGCTCCTTGGGGGGTTTTACCAGTAGTTGCCACGCTTGGCAGACGGATTGGCAACCGCAGTTACGCTTTGAAGATGTTTTAAGAGGGACGCTGCTGTCCATCCCTAGATCATTATTCGCCTCTTACGACACCCATTGGGGAAGAAAGGGGTGGCCCTATCTAAGCCGGTACCACACGAAACAGAATGGGCTCCTCTAAGATTTCAATACAATATACGCAATACTAATGGCGTCACATCACAGTGATATCTATGGTAGACATAGATAATATATAGTAATATCTATATATTTTGACTTACAACATCTATATATTGGCTCTACGGATATAATTAATGTTAGTTATCCAATATACGTGTATAGTATTGATTGCAAGACGATAATATCAATATTAAGGCGATATCGAAATGGATGATGATTTTTTTGTCATTAATATTTAGAGGAATATCGGTATCACTCTAATATCTTAGAGTGATACCGATATTATACATCCCTAGTCTATGGTGTTACTTATGTTTAATAGGGAAAAGTCATTTTGCATTAAGTGAGTCATCAGTTTTTTATCATTCCTAACTAAAAAAAAGCAATAGTATATAATTATGGCTTATTGTAATGATTGCTATTATTATAAATGTGAAAGTGAGTTTTTCTTATATGTTTATTTGTTACGTCTTGACTCCTTAACGGATAAACAATTTTTTATGAAATTTAGTACACACGTTCTAGGTACATGTGGGATGGTAAAAAACATATTTATTACGTCGGTCAATGAAGATCTCTCGGTCACGCAAACGAAGTCGCAGATAAAATCAAGTAACATTATAAGAAGATAGTACTACTCACTAAAGCTATTGTGAACAAAAATTCTTGGATCAAATAGGAGAAATAAATACGTACCTACTAATACCCAATACATTTTATTGACACATTTCACAAAAGCTCTCATAAGCAAATACACTATTTACTATAAATAAAGAATGGTAGCTCAGGTGCGATATGTAGGATAATCCTCTTCGCTTCCCGATACGGGGCGCGGGTTGTGAGCTGATACGTGCAAGGGTTCCGTAAGACGCGAAGGTAATAACCGTAATAGCTACGTACCTTCAAGGTAACCTTATTAGGCCCTAAATTTCTTAAATTCAATTTTGTTTCTAACTTGTTTTCTTTCTTTTTTTTCCTTCTGGCCTTTCAAGTCTGTTTTCGTAACATCCTAATAATATTACGTTATAAAGTAAATATGTTTAAGATCTACTTATAAAATACAGGAAAATAATTGCAAAATAAAAAAAAAAAAAACAAATTCATCAAAATTATAACTATCAAAAATATTTTATTGTCAACACTGGCAAGAATTTAAGTAGATATATAAAATAAGTAATTTTTTTCAAATGTGCCTTTTTTAGTAATAATAGAATATTTTTTATTCAAGTAAATTAATTACGAGCATTTTTGATTGCTCATTTGAAATGCAAACTACTTTGAATAATGCAATAGTAAAAAAATATTTGTTACCCTTAAACCTATATAATTATATACACTATGCCTGTAATAAAAATATAATATACGATCTATTCTCCTCAGTAATCTTTTATGGATGATAATGGAACAGTAACCCCGCCTGCGCTAACGGTATACGCTGGCGGGGCACCAGTGAGGGATAATAGATGAGAAAGAAAAGGCAGGTCAGTTAGCACATCGTGATAAATATACCTGAAATTCAGCACGGTGGTTTCCAGGGGGACCACGTGGCGGTCGACCTGACATATTACTAGCAATGAGACTGGAAGCCGCATTATTAACAATCCCTTTCTCCCTCTTCTCTGTAATAGGTAACATTATTTTTTCATAATATGATATTAGTGAATTGTCTAGGGACTTATTGCCACTACCGTAAATCAGTAGTTCAGGCAGTATTACCAGGTATCCAAACAGGAAAAAATAAACAAAAATTATACGTTATCAATTAATTGCTATAAACTCAAGCGTCTGATGAATAAGTCAGTAGATTCTCTGTTTTATACACTTACCGCCAATTATTATCAGACGAATGATTTTCTTTCGTACAGTGCCATTTGGATGCCCCCGGCTACAAAATAATAATATAATTATATAGTTTTAGTTAGCTTTAATCTCATTTAAGTGAATACTTGTATTCTTTAGAAAAGTAAATAGTTTAAACTGTAGCTATTTGGTAGCTACCATTTCATTTTTATCGATTAAATACAAAATACCACTTATATATTCATATGAGAATGGAACTCTACGAGTATGGAAACCGAGTCGAGATATTTCTAGGCCGCTTTAGTTGTCGAGTACAGTAAGGCCTCTGACGTGAGTTACAGGTACCTACCTGATTGCTTGCTATTAACAACTTTGAAATCACGACCACGTTTTATTATGCACTATAATTAATAACATCCTACATCAATTCAAGCGCAGCAATAATCTGACACCTGTATATTTATATATCCATCCATTACTAACTTTAAGGCTCGTGTTCCATGATTTAAATTTTATAGGTAAATTATAATCAGATACCTAGGTTTATCTTAACTTTTCTAGTAAGGTTACACCCGTTAGGAGCTGACTTTTGATAACCCTCGCTAAATGATAATATATGACCTAAATATATGTCTTAATAATCTAATTTTTAATCTATTTTCCTAATAATAAGCTATATGTAGCTACATTTACAGCACTAAATGTTTTTTTAAGTTGTCTTTTCAAGACATTGACCACTTAGTAGCAAAATAACCAGGAATCTCTATTGTAACGGTAGATGCTTACATTATATGAAAAGCGATAGGTTATCGCATGTTGTTGCAAATTCATAATGGCAGGGTCTAGTCTTAACAAGGCTTCATATGAGGACTAAAATAACCCACGTAATAGATAGGATTAACGGAGTAATAGTCACCTCATGTTACTGTTATAATCCTGTTATAATAATACTGTTATAAACAGCTGGCAACCTATATTAAGAAATACATATTCTGAGTATAATAATTGAATTTTATAATGCCTCTGGATAGATACCTTTGCTATGAAATTAGTTTTATTTCGCAACTTTAAGTGATCCTAAACCCTAATAAACCCTTCACTAAGTATTATATATTTTTCCGTTTGTTCCGTCTTCTTTGATTAAAACTGCAGAAATTTACTAGCCTGTCTGCCTGTCTTACATATTTTCAATTTTCACAACAAGCATAGGCATATTTAAGAGGGGCAGGGTGGGTTGTGTCCACTCCGCCCCCTCTTTTTGTAATTGTTTGATGCCCACCCCAGGATCCAAGAGAAGCTTCACAAACACATCTCTGAAAATACATTTACACCTTTATTAAGAGCCCAGGCCCCCTCCTCATCCCGGAAAATAATCTTCAATATACGAATGACAACAGGTACTCCTTGTGGAGCAGGCAACGAAAAATAAGTTTTAACAGTTAACTGAGATGGGGCAAAGGTCCTTTTGAAATCCGTAAAAAGGACGAGCCGAGCACGAGTATTGATTTTGATATTGCAAGGTGCGATGCGATGAATATCTATGACAATCGGCAATAACCTTTATGATATGCGGACCGTACATTCGATTGCCACTCTAAATATACGAACAAAAGTAAAAATCGACTAAATGACGTAACATTGTACAGAGCAAATAAA